TACACAGAGCAATTTGGGGACTTCTGTCCGGACGTTTTAGGTGGCTGCAAAGCCTTTGAGATAGAGTCTCGCTCTGTCACCCAGGCTGGAGGGCAGTGGCGCGATCTTGGCTCACTGCAACCTCCACCTCCTGTGTTCAAGCCATTCTCATGCCTCAGCCTCCTGAGTAGCAGGGATTACGGGTGTGCGCCACCATGCCCAGTTAGTTGCAAACCTTTTATAAATTGTGCACTTCCCTGAGAAACAAAAGGCATAGTCTGAGAGTTGCTGTTCAGTGAGCATTACTGGGGCCCCAGTGCTCAGGACCCCAAAGCATGACCATCAGGGGCATGTGCTGCTGATCTCTCTGCAGCTGCTGTTGCTGGGCGAGTGGGTCAGAGAACCCGCAAGCCACTGAATGGCCCCAGGAAGCCCACACTGGCTGAGCCTAGCTGCTGTGGTCTGTGGGTTTTGCAGTTTATCTGTCCGAGGGCTGGGGATCAAAATGCTGAATCTGCAAACAGGGATCATATTTGCTGGAGCTCCTGATTCTCAGCGGAGTTCCCGCACACCCTTCGTAATAAGCTTAAAGGTAAATGTTAGGCCCTTCTGCTGGCAGGGCGGGATCCCGCGTGTCTGGCCAGGGCAGGCCCACGTGGATCTGAAGAGCTCACGCATCATCACGTTAGCATAATAGCAGTCAAGGGCATGTGACGTCAGCTGGGGGGTGAGGGACGGATGTCTGTACTAAGGGGCCTCCAACCCCATCCCCCCAAAGAAAAGTTCTAAATGCTAAAAGCACTCCACAGTAAAATATTTATGCAAATAAGCAAGTTTTTTCTCCTCTAGGCACCTGCCGGTGGTTCACGCTGTTTATCTCTATTGGAAATGCAAGAACATGTTTTGATATAGATTACAAAAGCTTGGGCAGCAGAGGTGTTTATGTACTCAGAAGGCCGAGCTGCCGGAGTGGGAACATTGATTCAAGGTCTCTGGATGTAAAGTGAGTCAGGCGAAAAGATGTTTTGCTTTCTCCCCTGTGAACACCCATCTGAATTGGCGAGAAGTGTCTTCCCGTCTTCCCGCAGCCTCCGCCGTGTGGTGTGCCGGCTGTAATGACACACGGGTGACAGGTTACCTGGACAACATGCATTACAATTACAACCCAATGCTGCATGACAGAGGAGGCTCGGCAGTGAGGTTGTCTGCCTCGCAGGTAGACACGGTGCTGCGTGACTCAGCAGTGTTCGGCTGTGGTTGGAGTGCTCAAAGTATTTAAATGATCACCCTTCTCCTTACCTGGGCTTCAGTGGTTTTCAGCGACCACAAATTAAGATCCATACCTCTCGACGCACATTAGGAACTCTCTGCAACCCAAACAGCCTTCTAAATTTTCTTTCTCTTGTCAGCAAGAACCCTCTGCTTCAGCAACCAGAGTCATGGAGGACAAATCAAGGCAGCACACTACAGGTGCATGCAACGGGAATACTAGGACCAGGCTGAGCCCCCAGTGATCCAGGAGGAGCTCCCAAGTCCAGAGAACCTCCAGCCTCCTCTGGTGCCAGGGAAACGATGAAATATTCTATGTGATACAGAAGCTAACGTTTACTCCGCACTCACTATGTGGCAGGCACTGTTCTAAATGCAACTCATTTAACCAGTGAGGGAGGCATGAATGTGCTTCCCCTTTGAGGAATGGGGAAACTGAGGCATGGGAATGCTAAGAAACATGCATAAATTCACCCAGCTGATAAGCACAGGACGAGATCTGAGTCCAAAACATTACCCATGCTGCCGGCCTGCTTGTCGGTGATGCAGTGTTGAAAACACAGAGGAAAGGAAAAGCAGGCAGTCCCAAGGTTCATGCCATCTGACTTGTGCAGACGAGAGCTGCTTTCTTTCATGCTATTTCAGTGAATCTGTAATGAACATCCTTGTACGTTTCTCCTTGTGCACACAGGCAAGAATTTCTCTAGGGCGAAGGCCTGGAAGTGCAGAGCTTCTGGGGTGTGGCATGAATGTGGTCACCTTTCCTGGGTATTGCCAGAGCACTCCCCAAAGTGGATGCACCAACTCCCTCTCCTGGCACGGGTGGAGGGGTCTTGTTTCTCCACATCCTCATGTAAACTTGGCATCATCACAGCTTCTTATGGTGCCAAATCTGGTGAATGTGAAATGGGATTTCATTGTGGCCTCAATTATCATTTTATAGTGCTCTTGTCAGAAAAAGAAATGTTAGAGACACTCTGGAAAGTAAACGACAGATGATGAAACCAGCTGATGGGCTCACTGGACAGCGGGCCTCACACTGTGCCAGCAGGCGTGCTGAGGACAAGCCTGACCAGGTGGACACGTGGTCAGGGAGCGGGGCAGTGAGGACCTGGGGCTACAGAGGACATCAGTGTGAGTCCTCAGGAAGGTCAGAGGCCCTGGAGAAGCAGGTGTGTCAGGCAGAGGGCTGGGCCTAGGGCTGGCTGAGGCCAGAGCCTCCCCACGTGTGCAGGGAAGCCCTGGGTCAAAGTCTCAGCACTGGAATCTGAGCACACGTTTGTCTATGGCAAGAGAGAAGCACAGATGAAGCACATGCTTTGCTCCTGCACCTGTCCCATACCTTCGCACTCCAGAACTGATTCTTGGCAGCCCGGTAAGGTGACAGTGAGTGGACAGAGGTGACCACAAAATGAGGACTTGCCAGGAGGGTCTACTGAGGCCGGCAGTGGGAGCCGGGGGCCCTGCCAGGGTGGAGGTGGGGCTGGGGCAAACCTGCTTCTTCACAGGGAACACCATTCTTGTAGACTCCTGTGCCTCTGTCAATGTTTCTTGTTTCACAGCATACTGGGGACAGGTCCTGGGTAATCAGATATTAGCCCTGCTTGTTTCAGAAAAGGCTGATGCCTGGGTGCTGTGCTGAGGTTAGGGCCCGCCTGGGTGGGGCTCCTGCAAATCTCTTCACCACAGCTGTCTGCTGGGCAGACCGTTTCCTACCCTGAGATCGGGCTCACTGCGCAGGCACCAGATGTGGCTCATAGCTCCCTCTCTGCCGGGCCAGGCCCTGAAATGCTCACCTCCACAGTGGCTGCTCATCTCAGATTTTAGTAGCAGGAACCCACAATTCCAAAGGTCGCCTCATTGAGAAATGCCATACTCAAAGCCAGACACTTCTATCTGGCAACTCCAGAGATCACATCAAGAAAGAGGCAAAGTGAAAATAGGCCACAGCCTCCTTGTGCAGAAGACTGAGGAAGTTCCAGGCCCCCTCTCACGGAAGCAAGGGCTCAACAAATATTTGGCTTTGCGTCCACCCTTCTCAGGCTGCCAGAGTGATTATCTCAAAGGCAAATCTGATTGTGCAGCTTTCTCACTCAAAGACCTTGGATGAGTTCCTGCTGCCATTCGACACAGGCCTCCAAACTCTTTTTTAGTGATGTGAAACTCTTCAAACCAACTCTTAGAATCCCAAGATCAAATGCAGGCAAAAGTGGTGAATTTTACCACCTGTTTGTAAGTCTGAGTTTATAACATGACCGTACATCACCCAGAACGCAGGCTAGACAAATCAGGGGTCTCCGGTGCGTCAGGATTCCGCCGATATCCCGAGAGCTAACCTGGGGCTGGGGCAATGTTCTGTGGCTGCTGTGCTTTCCTCTCATAGGCCAGCTTAAAACATCCGGGTTTCAGGGCCACATTCTCCAGGGCACAGCAGGGAGCTCACAGTAGCTCAAGACCTGGCCCAGCCTCCAACCCCAGCCTTGGAGCCGTCAGTGCTCCCACAGGCTGAAAGCATTCGGTCTTGGCTGAGCGGACACCCCCTTCCCTTCTTCCAAGGCTTCAGAAGCCACCTATCTCCAGATCCCACTCCAAAGGAGCCTTCCACCCACAGAGACCCCACCCAGAAGGAGCTGTGTGTGAGGCACTGAACCCAGAAGGAGCTGTGTGTGAGGCACTGAATGAAACCTCTTTCAGATGGCTTATCTCACGGTACTCTCAACGTGTGTCTCCGTTACGGGACTGTGGGCATCTTGGGGGATGGGCGCGCCTCATTCATTCCTCACCCGCCACTGTGTGTAAGACACCTGCACACGGAAAGTCCTCAATTTGTCTCTCTGAAAGGGTGAATGAATCAAGGAACTGGGGATGTTTTCAAATAGAATTTGCTGCTTTGGGGAACTGGGAAAAATTCAGGCTTTTCATCAGTGTTACCAGAGTTGGTATGCCGGCTGTAATGCTGAAAAGTCAGAAGTAAACAAATTCCCTGGGACCCAAGGCATGCGCTTCATCTCATTGGCTTCTTACAAGGATTGGGTGCAAGTGCTGTAGGAAAGATGTTTCCGGGAACATGGGAGCAAAGCCCAGGTCTGCATCTTGTCTGAAAAACTAGCCTGTTGTTTCCCAAACACACAGCAAAATAGCCTGATATTTCAGAGCGGAAGGGGAGGTTGGTTACGAACGGTATCGCCATGAGCCGCAAACGAATGGAAGAAATTCCAGGTTAGCAAAATGTAAATTTCATTCCATACAAAAAACCCTTAGTACATAGCTCAGAAAACAGCCAAGAGGCCCGTGATCATCTCGGTTCAGGAAATGCTAGGCTGCTGGAGACAGGCTTTTGTTTAACCTCATAAACATCTAACAAACAGGGAAGACATCAACTTGATTATTATTTCTCTCCTTTTAAACATCATCACTCCTTTTTTTTTTTTTTTAATTCTTATTTTGGGGATAGGGTCTTGTACTCTCTCCCAGACTGGAGTGCAGTGATGCAATCTTGACTCACTGCAGCCTCAACCTCCTGGGCTCAAGCGATCCTCTCACCTCAGCCTCCCAAGTAGCTGGGACCAATAGGTACATGCCACCATGCCCAGCTAATAGTTTGAATTTTTTTTTTTGTAGTGATGGGGTCTCACAGTGTTGCCCAGGCTGGTCTTGAACTCCCGGGCTCAAGCGATTGGCCTGCCTCGGTCTCCCAAGGTTCTGGGATGACAGGCCTGAGCCACCACGCCCGGCCACCGCCGCTCCCTTACCCAGGATGATGCCATTGGGCTCCTCCGGAGGTTGCCACACAATCCGCACGGAGGTGAGTCTCACTTCGGGGAACACAAGCCTCACTGGTGGGCCTGGAGCTGAAGGGAAAACCACAGGGATTCAGATGTCAAGACAATGTTCCTTAGGTGCGTGACAGGTTCCACAGGACTCTGAGGGTCAGCTGGGTGCAGGAACTACCACAGGCTACAGTGTCATGGGTTTAGAACCCTCTAAAGTTTTGGACTGATGACTTTGGAACCTCACCGGTAGTGTGGCTCCTTAAGAATCTTGAGCAAACACTTCCTTTAAACCCTGCCCATCTGCTTTCCAAGACTCAAAAGCAGGGCTCATGAACTATGCCAGGAAGAGCGTGAGTGTGACCAGCCTACCAGGACACAAGTAGACCAGTCACTAAATGACTCTGACAGCAAACATCAGGTTGAGAGGAAGGATTTCCCTCATCTGAGCTCCGATTCCCTTACTGGGTTTGACGTCTGCAAAGCAGGTGGTAGATAAGGCGGCCTGAAGTTCCTCCCAACTGTAACGGAGGTTCCAATTTCTGATGGAAGAACACGTTTATCCTCAATCATTTTTCTCGTAGGCATGCCACCTCTCTCCTGCATCATCCTAGATAATTAAGAGTTGATGTGCACAAATGCATATAATAATTCTTGTATGTGGTTCGGTGCGCCAATAATTCAAAAAGCAGTTAGGTGTGGTGGAACTGCTGAATAATAGGGTCGTAGCCCTCATAAAATACATTTACTTAAACGAACAGGCAAGTAAGTGTGTGGCCAATATGAGAGCTTCTTGTTGGAATTAATAACTGATTGATTCCCAGGTAAGAGGCAATGGGCATGAAACAATCAATGTGAAAATAAAAGGATGCATGTTCGTCATTCTGGGCTGCTGACTTCTGTCCCCGGCTATGAAGCTGGGAACGGTATTTTAAATTTTGAATGTGTGTTATGACGCCTAGTTTGCGGTGAAATAAATGTTTGAAGGAGGCCACCAGGCTCGCAACCAGGACTAAGTCACAGATACGCAAACACTGACTTCAGTCTTAAGTAGCGTTGCTCCCCTGAGCCCTCTCCTGGGCTGTTTACGGGGATTACGCTGGAATGCAGAGGAGGAAAGGCAGGTCTATGGGAGCGCTGTGGGAGGGGAAGCGGCAGCATTCCAGGACTCACCAGTGCCTGCTTCAGGAGGGAACAGTGGCCTTGGGCCTGCTGTTACAGTTTCTAATATGCCCCTTTTTACTTTCATCTGGGGAACCTGGAATACACTGGAGCTGGAAAGAGTTTTGAAAGGAAGCAATATCCACATTCCTTTTCCCTCCTGGATCCTCCTCTAGCCTGAGATCCTGTGTCAGGGGAGGATGGACAAAGCCTTCTGCAGGGTTCCCGTCTCTCCCTGAGGCGAGGCAAGGATGGGGGCGGCGCTCTCTGAGCAACGTGGAGACAGCGCTTTCCACTCAGCAGTTAAGAGGATTTTCGGGCTCATTTAGCTACTCAGCAAAGATGCTTAAGAAAACCTACGGTTATTTCACTTCTTCAGCCACTCTGATCCCCATAGTGGGTGTTTTTTTGGCAATGGGGGAGATCAGTACTTCTCCCCCTGATGTATTCATTACAGTCTGTCTAATAGTGAAAATGTAGAGACGCTAACCTTTACATGTTTGACATCTGCAAAGTGGGAAAACATATTTACCGATGATTTAGAGTTCCATGAAAACAAAGCTGGCAAGGCGTGCTTGTTATTCAGGTCTGGAAACGCAGGGAGCTGGGGACCCTGAGCCGTCAAACATGGGGCTTTCTACAACTTCTAATTACCTCCCACAATGCAAACAGTGAGACCGGGGCAGTACTGAGAATTAAGGCACGAGGTCCACTGTGGATTTTTTAAACTATAGTAGTTCCCTCTTATCTGCAGTTTCAGGCATCCCCTGGGGGTCCTGGGATATGTTGCTGGATAAGGGGGCACTACACTAGATACGTGAAGCCCCCGCCAAGAGGAGCGTCCACAGCTCGTATCCACAGCTCAGCCCGGCCCCAGCCTTTCCTGCTCTCCCCAGCGCTGCCCATGGCAGAGTTACGAGGGAAACTCTGCCCAGGTTCATAATTAGGCTGTAAAAATCCACTCCAGGCTGAAATTGGCCATAGAAGTGCTCAGCGACTGAAAAACAATTTTGCTTTGTTTCCCTCAACTGCAAAAGAAAGTGGTTTGAAAATTAAGTTAAAAGTGACAATTCAAATTGTTTGCATTGGAAAGGCCAACCTGGGAGGCAGCGAGGCTCCCGAAGGCGCGAACCCTGGACCTACCATCGTCTTTGGTGCGCTCCAGGATGAGGGGCGTGCTGGGGACCCCGTTTCCGATGCGGGTGAACGCCAGCACCTGGAGCTCGTAGAGCACGAACTTGCGCAGGCCTGCCAGCAGGGCCGACTGCGTGTGGTTCCCTCGCACGGTGTGGCTCCTGGGCTCGGGATCCAGGTCTTTGGCCCGGAACAGGATCTGTGGCATCGACACAATGTGAGGGTTATAAGGAGGAGGGTGCCAAGAGGGACGCCCATGGCACGGGGCAGGCCACCTTCGTGAATCAAGGCCCAGCCAACTGTGCTTTCTCCCTGAGGATGGCTGTGGGAAGGGCTTGTGGATCTCATTTGTCCATGCTGGCATTTGGGAAGGAAGGCGGTGGTGAAGTGACTGCACTCCAGGGGAGTCTGAGTTAGTGCCCACAGCTTGGCGCGCCTGCTGCCTGGTCGTGATCTGCAAGATCGGAGGCCCCACTGCAGCCGTGCCAACCACAGCCACTAACACAGACTCGATTATGAACTCAGTCACATTCTGCTTCCTGCCACAGGAGCCAGCAGCCCCCTGGGTTTCCCAGCCATGGAAGCTGGGTTCCTGCCACAGAAGACCTGCTATCCTCACACAACCGGGAGCTCCGGCCTCCTTGGGCCATCTGCAGTTGTGCAGGCTGTAGGCACCCCACCCCAAGCTGCTCTGCTCCAGGGCACCCCACCCCAAGCTGCTCTCCTCCAGAGCACCCCACCCCAAGCTGCTCTGCTCCAGGGCACCCCACCTCAAGCTGCTCTCCTCCAGGGCATCCCATCCCAAGCTGCTCTCCTCCAGAGCACCCCACCCCAAGCTGCTCTGCTCCAGGGCACCCCACCCCAAGCTGCTCTGCTCCAGGGCACCCCACCCCAAGCTGCTCTGTTCCAGGGCATCCCAACCCAAGCTGCTCTGCTCCAGGGCCTCCTGCTAAGTCTTCACTCAACGCCCACCCTCTCGGAACTGCTCCCTGAGATCAGGGACATGGAAGGCCATAAAGGATAGCATCACCAGGAAGCCGTTTGAAAATAGCACAGCAAGCACGTTTCTCTGGGCCCCAGGAATGTGGTGTGGAGTTTTGGTCACTGAACCCCCTCAACGGGACTGCTATGTGTCATGGAGCCAGCAGGGCACGCTTAGAACGCCCGGGGAAGGGGGAAGACACAGGAGAGCAGGCGGGGGAAACAAAGAATAGGGATGTGAAGTATGGAAAGGTGGAGGAGGCACGCTCAAAACCCAGGCAGCAGCACTGAGACAAGCATGGCCTTGCTGGCCAGGTCCAGAAAAGCTCATTCTGATGCTTGGCATTGCTGAGCCAAGGAGCAGACGGGGAGACAGAGCCTGTCGCCCCTGAGTGATGGAATGAGGAACAGAACAGGGTTTTAAAGGATTGGGGTGGATGTATGGAAGGTGGAACCCAGAAATGGCTCCCCCAAGAAGCTGGGACAGATTCAACCCTTCCAGTGGATGCCATTGCTAGGACCGTGACGACACACATAGAAACACACACACAGCGATCCACCTCGCCCAGCCCTTCACACCAGCAAGGCGTGCTGTGTAAAAGACCCACTGAATTCTCACACTAACTCCAGGACAAAGCTACCATCGTTATTCCCGTTTTACAAGCGGGGAGACACAGGCACAGGATTTCAGTAACTGGACCACGGCACCGAGGCCAGCGAGGGCAGAGCCAGGCGCAGGCCCCGAGGTCAGGTCCACTCCGGCTGCGCTTTTCTTCTGGTACCCTGTTTTGGCGTTTGTGGTGTGGTTATACCGATGCCTAATTCCCAGACCGCAGTGAGGCTTAGATAAGACAACTGGATGTCCTAATAAAAGTCACAAACTGGCCTGCACTGCAGATCTGCTGAAGAAGAGGAAGCTTGCTGCTTTGGGGGGAATGGCACGTGGTCGCATTTCCCCAGCCCATTCTTTAAGCAAAGGGAGGTCATCCCATCACGCACCTTGTAGCCCAGTATGAGCCCATTCTGGTCCTGTTCCGGCACGGAAGCCCATGTCAGTAAAATCTGTGTCGAGCTGACAGCCTCAGCTGACACGTTCTCAGGGGCGGCTGAAGGAACTGCAAAGAACCAATGAAGTAGATTGGCATCCAAAGTCCAGAGTATCTACGTACAAAGATCCAGCTTTCACCCAAATAATCTAGTTGTCCTTGAAATAGCAATGTATTCTGAGCATTTTGTAGTGATCAGATTAAACCTGCAGGAGTATAATGGATATGTAAATCTCTTTAATATTAGCAACAAATTCCATAAATCCTGGGTACTTAGCAGCTCAATTTTACCTGAGTCCACCCAGCAAGAAAAAAAAAAGATGCTTGGTCTGTTTGCTGTATTAACTTGTGGAAACTGCAGACTTTTATCTCAAATAGGAAATCCTCACCTTCAGACACATGCCATTTCACTGACAGCTCTAAACGTGGTATTCCGTGATAGAGACAGGAGAGGCTGAAGAGAGGAGGGGACGTGAGGATTTACACAAAAGAAGGGAAAGGGAGAGTAGGTCGACTAGGTGCTTATCCGGTGCCTGTCTGTGCCAACTGCCTTCAGTTACATAATTGCATCTAATCCCACAATGATCCCAATGAAGTAGGTATCATTACCCCTTTTCTACAGATGAGAAAACTAAAGCTGAGAAAATTGCATTGAATCCATTTTAATTAATGCTTCTCTACAAGGAGATGGGCAGCAGAGGCCAGCCATGTCATTCTTGACCCATGTACATGTAAGATAATTTCCTTTTCTTCTTTCCTTTTTTTTTTTTTTTTTGAGACTAGAGTGCTGTGGTGCGATCTCGGTTCACTGCAACTTCCGCCTCCTGGGGGCAAGCCATTCTCCTGCCTCAGCCTCCCAAGTAGCTGGGATTACACACATGTGCCACCACGCCTGGCTGACTTTTGTATTTTTAGTAGAGATGGGGTTTTACCATGTTGGCCAGGCTGGTCTCGAATGCCTGACCTCAAGTGATCTGTCTGCCTCGGCCTCCCAGAGTGCTGGGATTACAGGCGTGAGCCACCGTGCCCGGCCCACATGTAAGATCATTTTCTTATACTGGAGCCGGGGATGCTGCTCCGCTCACCTGTGCCTCAGTTGTCCCATTTGTGAAAGGCTAAGGCTGGCCTACCTTCCTTCCTTAGAGTCTTCTCACTCTCCCCTCCTGGTGGCCAGCAGTTGTTGGTCAGCAGGTGATCAATAGCTAGTTGTTTTGAAGAAAGTGAAAGGAGGATGCTATGACCAGTCCTAGCCTATAGAGTGAGAATGAAAGCAAACACTGAGGTGCCTGGTAGGGCGCTGGCACACAGAGGTGAGTGGAAGCATCTGTTCCCTTCTCCTTTGCAAGACTTCCTAGGGTTTCAAGAACAGCAGGAGGCACGCATGCACCTTTGTAGCAGGAGCACTCGTGGGGGCTTCCTCTGCTCTTTCATAGACCCACTCATCCATCCATCCATCCATCCATCCATCCATCCATCCATCCATCCATAAATCGATTGATCCATCTATCTATCTATCCATCCATCCATCCATCCATGCATTCACCCATCCATCCATCCATCCATCACCCATCCATCCGTCTATTCATCCATCCATCCATTCACCCATCCATCCAATCACTCATCCATCATCCATCCATCCACCCACCCATCCGTCTATTCATCCATCCATCCATTCACCCATCCATCCATTCACTCATCCATCATCCATCCATCCACCCACCCATCATCCATCCATTCACTCATCCATCCATCATCCATCCATCCATCCATCACCCATCCATCACCCATCCATCCATCTATTCATCCATCCATCCATTCACCCATCCATCCATTCACTCATCCATCCATCATCCATCCATCCACCAATCACCCATCCATCCATCCATCCATCACCCATCCGTCTATTCATCCATCCATCCATTCACTCATCTATCATCCATCCATCCACCCATCATCCATCCATTCACCCATCCATCCATTCACTCCTCTATCCATCATTCATCCATCCACCCATCAGCCATCCATCCATCCATCACCCATCCATCCATCTATTCATCCATCCATCTATTCACCCATCCATCCATTCACTCATCCATCATCCATCCATCCATGCATCCACTCATCACCTATCCATCCATCCATCCATCCATTCATCCATTCACCCATCCATCATCCATCCATTCATCCACCCATCATCCATCCATCCATCCATCTAATCATTCATCCATCCATTCACTCATCCATCCATCATCCATCCAGCCATCTACCCATCCATACATCCAACCATCCACTCATCACGCATCCATCCATCCATCCATCCACCCATCTACCCATCCACTCATTCATTCATTTACCATCCATCTATCCATCCATCCGTCCATCCATCCATTCACCCATCATGTATCCATCCATCCATTCACTCATCCATTACTTCAGACATTCAGACTTCCTCATTACACGGAGACTGAGAGGGTAGCACTGTTAGTTAGTCTGAAGACAGAAAGTAACATGGTGGGGGGGTTGCACAATAATGCAACCTGTGACATTTGATTGCAAGATTGTCTATATGACGGTAGTTTGATCTTTGTTATGGATTGAACTGTGTGCCCCCTGAATCCTTATTTTGTGATCCCAACCTCCGGTACCTCAGAAGGTGACCTTATTTGGAGTCACAATTGTTGCAGATGTAACTAGTTAAGATGCAGTCATACCGCATAGGGTGGGCCCCTGATCCAATATGACTAGTGTCCATATAAGGAATTTGTACACAGACACACACACAGGGAGAGTGCCTTGGGAGGAGACAGACACACACAGGGAGAACTCCGTGGGGACGTGGGAGGGAGGCTGCCCGAGCCACGGAACCACCAGGTGCTGGAGTGGGGCCGAGGACAGATCCTTCCCAAGCCTTCAGGGGGATCATGGCCCTGCCGACACCTCCAGCTCAGATTCCACCTTCCAGAATGGTGACAGAATACATTTTTGTCATTTAAGCCACCCCGTTTGGGGTATTCTGCTACGACACGAACACAGTCTTTAAGACAATGCCAGGGTTCGTGTGCATCCTAGAAGAGTTGTTCTCATGCTGTGTGGGAAGCTTCTCCCCTCACCACTACAAACCAGTGTTTCCCTAGACAAGGGAGGGGCAAGAAAGGGCGGCCTCATAGCAGGCCACAGCCTAACAAGGCCAGTGGCTGAGGATGACTAAGCCTCAGGACGGGGGTCAGTGGCCACACTGCACTCTCACCACACCCTGTGGGGTCTCCCCAGAGGAGAAATCACAGAGGAACCTGAAGAGCAAAGGCCTAGAATGCCTGCCCCCAGGAAGGGGCCCGTTCCCTGGTGCTGAGAGCCCTGGGAGGAAGCATCTCTCCCTCCTCTTCTCTCCCTACCACCTTCCCTGCATGGACATTAGATCGGCTGCTGAGTGTCAGTCAGTGAATGTGTCCACAAAATAGAAAAACCCTAGTTATGCCTGTCACTATAAAACCACTGTGAGCCCCCTTCTATTTTTGGAGGGAGATAATGCCAGCCAGTCCAATCTTCCCAAATATGTCAGTTGAGAGTCATTCATTCAGTTACTCAGTGCTTCAATGAAATAGTATCAATTTATTAGAGCAGAGAGGTGTCACACAAAAGGTGTCACGGAAACATACTTGCAATGTTAAGTTTGCTCAGTTCTCCAAAGAGGAAGGGGGCTTGTCACAGAAGCAGCCCCGAGTCCCCATTGTCTTCCAGCTGTGGCTCCACCCGGCTCGCTCGTGCTCCCTGGGCCTGCACAGAGCTCCCACAGGGTGTCTTAAATGCCACCATGGCTGTTACCAGGAAATGGCTTGCACATTGCTCATTTTATACAAAAGTTGAATAAACTGAGACCTTGAATCAACTATGAGCTAAAGGGGGCACTAACATTAAAAAAAAAAATGTAAACCTACAATGTATCCGAATTTACTTAGAATAAGGTAAGAACACCAAATACTGTATGCCCAAGATGTTGGTACCAGGTTCTAAAACCTCTGTCCCTGTCTGTAAAAAGGCCATTGTCATAGCAACACAAATGGTCCACTTTTGTAATCCTTAACCGCTTCCTGTGGGTCACTCTTTGAAACTGTAAGTGCCCAATTCTCCCTACAGACCTACAAATCACGGCTGTTTTTCTAAGATGTGGTGGGATGAGCATGTGTTTACTGGAGAGCCAACCCTGTCCTTGGAGAATGAGGGCAACCTGGGGATTGCAGCAATTTGGACACTGACTAGGCTTTGAACGTGGCTGAATTTCTCACACAGAGACAGGGAGGTGAGGTGGCTAAAGTGGAGAAGATGGCAGAGTTCAGGATGGAAATTTCAGCGCATTTAAATCCTACCAGGACAAGATCTGCCATGAAGTTGCAAGTTTTCAAGAACTGAAAAAGAAACCTCTTACCCATCATCTATTTTGAAGTAGATTTAACTCCCTTTCCAACCTGACATCTTACGTTTTGAGATGTTCTTGGGAATTCCCCTTTCATTAAAAACAAAGCCATTCCATGGCTTCTTTTCCCCTTCATTTTTTTCTCTCCCCTCTGTAGCATTTCACACTACGCAGCTCACCGTTCCTCCTCATGTGGTCTCTCTTGGTTTTGAAGGCCTCATTTATCCTTAGAATATATCATAATATATCATGTCACAGAACCTGTTAAACTCCACTTCAAAACTGTAAACTTCATTGAAATGTGGCTTCGAGCATTCTGCTCTGTGTTCCCTGCATGTTTTCAGCACTCTTGCCCACTGGACCATTCCTGAGCTCCCAGGAGCTGCTATTTCCATTGAGGGGAGACTTATTTCAGACAAAGTGCCGTGGTTTTATTCTCTCTCCAATCCCTCTCCCTCTCCATTGGGTCCACTCCACCATTCTGCCCTGGCAACCCCTTCACCTCCCCCATCTCCTCCCTGCCTCCCCCCATTTAAAAAAAACCCTGAGTTTTCTGCTGGGGAGGGTAAGTGTCAGATGTTAGTAGGGCCAGGGAAGGCACAAAGTCAAAACTGCTGCACCTGGGAGGGCCTTGCCAGTCACAGGTGGGGAGATTCCC